AGGTTTTACCTCTGGCTCGGTGCAAAGTTCGAGTTTCCACGCCTTTTGGAATTGTGGCCACGGCGCCACAACCTTGCACCTCGTCAGTTGGACCTTAGGGTGAATGCACCTTCTGTTCAAAAGGTAAATGAACAACTAATTTAGTCTTCGATGCCTTCTCACAGTGAATGAAAATTCCGCGACTGCTGATTCTGTTGTATGTCTGATGGTCGTTTTATCGGTATTAAGGTTACATTACCGTTTATACATTTGGAGCTAAAGAGCGTCAGACTCCGATTTGTTGGTGACTTTGCACGCGACGAATGTGTCAAATGTGACGAAAGTGTCCTCGGGTTTTGGGGAATCCCCTTCCCAGCTTTCGGTTCGGTGTCTGGCGCCAATGTTGTGGCTTTCTCGTGCGATACCGATCATTAACGCCTCGGATAGATGGGGTCTTAAGACTATTGAAAACCGTGTGCACACCTTTGGCCCTGCCAATCTATGATCCATTGCGGCTTTCAGGTTGGCAGTTAGTTTGCAATTTTTACCCCCGGGACCATACCAATACTCCGTTTTCTGAACAGATAGGTATTTTTGCTGACTTTCATGCCCCACTTGATGCTATCGATCTCTCTTCTCTCCCTTACAGTCTGCCGCGAAATTTGTTGAAGACTTCTTTGACCAGAATCCCACCAGTCAGCTTGGTATAATAACTACCAGCGATACCAAGGCCAAGAGGATAACGGAACTTTCAGGTGAGTTTCTTACAAAACGAACGCCCATAGGCACTTAATGGAAGGGGTTATCGCTTGACAGAGACTGCTCCTCCACGACCTTATGCTTCGGGGGTCCGTTGTCGGACAGCGAGATTACGAGACATCTTTGTTTTTTAGACGAACGTAGCCACCCCTGCTGGGTGGCAATTGCTGCCTCAATTGCCGGACCTTGGCCGTTATGCTGCGATGCCATGTAGCTTTCACATACACATATATTTATGAAATGGATCCGACGAAGCAAGGGGAGACCGGAATGGCCGTTTCTGGCTTGATAGCCGTCATCAGCCAGTCATACCCAACCTCAAAAGGTGGACCCCCGAGATTTGAACCCGGGGCCTTTGGTCATTGAGTTCAATACTCTATCACGGTACCACGGACTCCTTGCTTTGTCGGTTGAGATCGGGAATATGATGAATATATGTGCTTCGC